CCATTTCACAGATTCATTTAGATTACAAGTGACCGTACAAGTAACCAGATACGTTTCTACCAAACAAATGAGGAAATGTTTTACACATAAATCCTTCATAAATCCTTGCAGCTTCTTTCCTCAACCCAATTTGCATTAATTCATCCACTTTCCTGTTAGGACCAAGCAAAAAATAGTCTAAAATCTGATTCAGTATTGATCCCCTTTGAGATAAATGGTAACAAGACCCTTTTTCCTCAGTTACACGCATTAACTTTTTATTTCTGTTCTTTTTAATTTTTCTGTTTAACTATATTAAGCTTTAAATCCTTGTCTATTGGTCCTTTTTGACCTACTACCAGAAAGCAAACCACGTCTAGAACTACACGAAGATGCACTCCTCTTGTGTACACTAATTGCCAAGTAATTCATTATTTTAAACTACAAGAATGCAAATGACTCTACCACGTGCTCTGCATACAAGATGTAACTGCCTGCATCTTGAAATGATTAGGTGCACAAGGAGAGGAGAGTGGATACCTGAGAGGCATTGATTTCTTACTGCTCCACTCTGGGTGCAAGTGCATTAACCTCTTCACTTTCCTGTCATGTATTAAGGCTGAATGCTGACACAGGACCAATAAACCCCCCAAACAATATATCTATATTGGTATTATAAAACAGAGATAGGATACTGTTATGCATTATTTATTTTGTCCTTCTTTTATTGTGTATATAACTATTTTCCATCTATATCTATCTATCTATCTATCTATCTATCTATCTATCTATATATTTATTTTATTATTTATTTTCCCCTCTTATAAGATTGTGAGGTTAGTCATCCAATACCTCTCTGAGGAAATGCCATTTTGGTACGAGGCGATGTAGTGTTTTCGCTTGTCCACTGGCATCACATCGATGTAACCACCCACATCGTTCCTGATGACTCCGGCGTGGACGGCCGCTCGACATATACTGGACTTCTACAGGAGCATGCAAGAGGAAGGAAAACATGTCAGAAATGTTCATTCATTTCAGTCTCTAAAATGCTGACAGCCCCAAAGTAGTGTGAATTAGTGTCTGACAAGTTCAGCTTCAAAAACAAGGACTTACATCAGAGTATATTCTGGTACCGATCACTCTGGATATGTGAGGATTCTCTTCTACGCAGTTTCTCGGGCAGTATAACCTAAGACGAATGATGAACAGACATGATGCTAGGCAGCTCTGATAACCAGAGAGAGTGTGCGATACAGGGAGGTGCATACCTTGGACAGTGTTTTACAGGCCTTTCGTATGGACACAGTTGTGCAACTGTGGTTTCACATGTGATGGCTTTGACTGTAAGAAGGAAACACAGCGAGTGTCGGCAAAGCCCATAATGAGAAGCTGGAAACAAATGACAACATATCTACATGCACAGCGTGACAGACTAACCTGTCACTCTGGAGACTGTGAAGGAGTTAGCACTTTGATATTTTCTGTCAAGGGGAAAATGAATACAGCAACATTAGATGCTATTATTTCTATTCACTTTCGTTATATTTAACTATCAGTTGTCATTGGTGTAAATTCATTGCCGTCTCACCCAAGTGACTGGACGCCATTCTTGTAGGATTTGATAAAAAAGTCCTTTCTTCCTTGCCTTGTTACATCCATCCATCCTCCATCATTATCTATGACACCAGCATGTAGACCAGCTCTGCACACACTGGATTGCTGCAATAAAAGAGATAGAAAGAGATACCATTTATACTGTATTTAGTAAGGAATTTGGATAAATAAGCACTAAGACGTATCCTCAAAGTACAAAACATCTTTTTCCCCAAAGCTTCATCTTGCACACCTCATGAAAAAACACTGAAGCGTCCAAATCTTTTTTAATCTTCCCTCAGAGTACACTAGCTACATGTGCACTCACCATTTCATAGTACACTGTGCCAACTACTTTTCCTGTAGCATCTAGGCATCCAGCTGGGCACTCGTATCTGTGTGTCAATGCAAAAATAACCATGTGAATATGTGAACTGTACATTCTGCACCGCACCCTATTAATGCTTCGCCATCACTGTACCTATTGCATGTTGTTCCTTTGCACTGATCCCGAAGCTTAGTGTCACAGGTCACTAGCTGGGCTGTAACACATAAACACAGAGGTCTTTGAGTTCTCCTGCAGGAAACAGCATGTGTGAACTAGCGGCTCTGATGCAGATGACTAGTTCCTAAAAGACTCAAGTGGAGACGCTTCAAGAATAAAAGACAAGAATTCAGGTTCAGGGTGGTCAGCAAAACTAGAGGATGTGTCTCATCTTACAAGCACAGGCCCTAATGTGCTGCAGAGAGGAAGCCATTTAAAAACCACAGCGAGCCGCTCTCACCCCTCAACCCTTCTCAGCAAGCCAAAAACAAACATACACTCAGGGGCTCATGCTAAAATAGACCTCCCCTCTCTGCTCCAAAGAGTGACTTGCAATATTGAGTAGACTCCATAAAGTGCAAGGGTTAATCAGGGAGATGACAGATAAGGACTATACAGCATCAAAGCAATTTAAGATAAATTGCAAGAAAATTATTTAAGGTCAAAGTCTACTTTTTGCACTTATTATTCAGCATCGCTAGCTCAATACTGAGCAAGCAGCTAGAGGTTTCTTTTCCTTTTGCAGCACATATTGTCCTCCACTTCCACTCTCTGCGCCTCCCAGACCTAAAACCATATTGTACACCCCCCATTTCGAGAGGAAACTAGATCCAAAATAAACAGTCAAATGGCAGCTTACACATCTGCTGTGTGTTGACCATTTCATTCTTCTGCAGGTCCTCTGCGGGGGGCTGCGTTGGGGCTGGAGCGGGGAAACTGGGAGGCTCAGGTCTGGAGGCCCGAGCCCGGGGATTTGTGGTACGGGGGACCTCTGGTTCAATAAAGTTGTTCTCTTCAGTTTCCTCTTGCAGTGGATATGAATTGTCATCTTGCCCTTAAATAAAACAGAAATCAAGGCATGATAATGAGTTATTTTCATCGACCTCTGTCTCCCTCTCTCTATGTGTGGCTTTTTCTTACCTTTGTAGCAGAGGTTGTCTTTGCATCCTCCTCCATAGCTGGGGGGACAAGAAGAGCACGGGGTCCCATGTTTGTAAGGTGCATGGCCCCACCAGTTTCCCCTGTGCACATGAAACAGCAAACAAAAATTACTGAACACAGACAAACCAGGACTGCTTTAACTTTAAGCGATCGCTGTAATGTCACATCAAAACGGCCTGACACTATAATTAACTCTTCGCAGTGCTGGTACACAACATATCTGCTTACTTCGGTGAATAGTTGCAGACAAGATAGACGGCTTTGGCCCAGATCTGCCCCCACACGTTCATGTTGTAACACATGTTGATCGCACAGCCAATTCGACTGCTGGTAGCCCAGACAAGCTACAAAAGAAGGACAATACGGAGAAGCAGAAACAGATGACTTAAATGTTCTCATTGCACTTTTGTAAGGTTTCCAGAAGTCATGATCCATAGCTACCTGTGTGTAATGTGTGCAAACTGGGCCAGAGCACTTGAAGGGACAGTAGGGATTACACTCTTGAGGGTAAGGGAAGGAGTAGTCTTTCACTTCATCATACCAAGCCTGAACATGGGACGTGGGTGGACGATACCTGGAGAGATCAGTAAGCACATCTATGATTATAATGTTCCAAGCAACATATCTTGTGTCTTATGAGTCCTTTGGTGTAGATGTTGGCATTAAGCTCTTCACTGCTCAATACAACTGTCTTTTTAAGTCTTGTAATATACTGTATAAGCTCTCAGTGCTCGGATATTCAGTTATGTTAAAATGCATATATATATGTATATGATAAATATGGCCGAGCATTAGATAAGGAGTGCTTGATTTGTTTTGACACAAGCACACTTAATAAACCCATGTAGTGCCACCTATAGTTATCATCCACTGGCAAACAGAGTGCTCTAACTGAAAATCAACATTTGTGCTCAGTAACCAAGGACACTGATCTGGCACCAGGTGTTGCCAGTTAATCTGATTAGAATTAAGCAGACATCTCGACTGTGGAGTGATATGATTAGATGCAGAACAAGCGTCTCTTGTGTGAAGCAGCGCTGTTTTCTGGAGCTCTGCAGGCGACTGAGTGAAATAAAGGAGCAAAGAAATCTGTGTTAAGTCTGAGTCCACTCGCATATATGCCACAGTGTGTGTTTGACGTCTCATTCGCAGCAGGTAAATGCCAGTCATGGGTAACATATTGTACACTCACACCGGCCACCTTATTACTTGTGAATGTTCAAGTGCTTGTTAATGCAAATGTCTTATCTGCCAATCAGAATAGAGAAACAGGGTGATTTAAGAGACTTTGGACGTGGCATGGTTTTCCGTGTCAGACAGGCTGCTTGGAATATTTCAGAAATTGCTGATCTACTGGAATTTTCCAACACAATCCTATCTCTAGGGTTTGCAAAGAAAGGTCCAAAAACCAGAAAATATCCAGTGAGTGGCAGTTCTCTGTTCAAAAATGCCTGTTTGATGCCAGAGGTCAGAAGAGAGCAGCCAGGATGCTTTGAGCTGACAGGAATGCAACAGTAACTCAAATAACCACCTGTTACCAACAACGTAGGCATCTACTTGAAGTAGATGGGCTACAACAGTAGAGGACCACACTGGGTACCACCCCTGTCAGCTAAGAACAGGAAACCGAGGCTACAATTAACACAGGCTCGCCGAAATTGGACAATAGAAGAAAAACTTTGTCTGACTTGATAAGTCTTGATTTCTGCTGTGTCTGGTGTTAACTGGTGGTGTAAATAACACAAAAGCATAGAGCCGTCCTTGCTTCTATCAACAGTTCAGTCTGCTGGTGGTGTAATGTTGCGTTGATATTTTCCTTGGACACTTCGGGCCCTTTAGTATCAACTGAACGTTCTTTAAATGTCAGCCTGCCTGAGTACTGTTGCTGACCATCCGTTTATGATGAGTGTAGAATGTCATCTTAAACACGAGAGTGACTTCATTGTATTCAAACAGCCTCGATCATCACCAGATTTTTATACTACAGCTTACTTGGTCACTTAAAGTACAACAGAGCACTTTGAAAACCTTTTGAAGTGTCCAAACTTATTTAATTTTAGTGTTTGATAGCATAAAAGTCTACATGCATAAACTGTCTGTAATAACAGATCATTTACCTTCCCCAGTGTGCCCCCAGATTCTGTCCAATCTGCGGCAGCAAGCCGGCGGGACCGTGCTCCCACAGACACGTCTCTGCCCACTCCTCTGCAGTACGTTCCAACTCTGTGTCCCACACCTGCACGAGGCGAGATGGAGAAATGAGTTTCCTGGATTATGAAAGTAACAAAATGGTGATAAAATGCATATAAACCAGTTCAATGTGTTATAGGGTAAAGGAGCTTAGAGAAACACTGCTCTGTGGTCAGTAACATGAGGGGAAATAGCACACCATTTCAACCTATGATGATAAGGAAGAGAAACTAGGAGCTGCTGCTGCTGCAGTAAAGCTTTTTGCCTTTCCTACTTCGACTCAGCTGACTTTTCTTGGAAGTTGGAAGTTTTGGAAGTCGTGGAAGTTTTTTAAAAAAGTTTTTTTTTAGTAATAACTTCCATATGTCTCTAGTGAGATGACTGGGTGCATGCTTTTGTTTCACTTTCCCTCTGTGAGTTGCCCTCTCAGTCAAGTTTAGCTCTGGTTGGATACTAAGGGATCATATTCCCATTCTGGGGTTTTCTGGGAATGCAAAGAGTGTCCTTCCTCCCTGCTGACCTATATTCTACTATAAAAATGCTAGAAAAACACCAACTGTACTTCCTCTGAAGGACGGCGTGTGTTCGTTTACTCCCAGTTCCAGTGTGGGATGACTTATATAACAGGTTTCTGCCAGAAAGTCAATTAGTTGATGTGCGTTAGTGGGTGTGAGCGCGTGTATTAGTAGTATATGGGTGAAGCTGTCAGAAATATTTGCATTTCACACGTTGGGGCCTGGAATTCAGCTTACCTTCACTGAAATCTCATCCACTAACCATACCAAAATAACCCCCCTCAACTTCCACGAACCACCTCCACTGTCCGTCCCAGTAGAAACAACTGCCCCGCACACCTACTTAGCAACAGGATGTCTGGCAGTGCTGCAAATTAACTCTTAACTCCGAGCAGTTTCTTCAGCTGTTTCTTCCCGTTAAACGCGTTTGTTAAAAATCAGCGACGCCAACGTGATACTGCAGAGCGGAATGTCAGTTTTTAAAACCGAGCCTTGTGGGAAGGTTACATAACTGAACAAACACATAAAAATTCATCGTCAATAGAAGGATGCAGAGTTACAGCAACCTCTCCTGCAGTTGCCTGTGGTCGTTCCTGTACAATAAGGTCAGATGTTGAGTGACAGACGCGGGGCTAAAACAGGAATGAGAATTTGTTTACCTGAAACCCTATCTGCGCTCAGACGTGACCTCTGCTTGCAGTGAGCCGCAAATAAATGTCGGTGTTGCCTTATCTGTTGCGTATCCCTTTTTTTGGCAGGATAATGGAGACCAGTCAACTCTAGTTTGATTTATATCTGCATATTTTCCCTTTGATTCTTCTCAAAGAATGACATCCTTGTGCAAAAAAACCAGACTGATAAGCAGACTGAAATACAGTATGCAGTGCTAAATTGGTGGTTCTGTGTCTTAAAACATTTTACTGTAACAGCAACTACAATAGGCTTCAAGCCTGAAAAAGAACCCAAAATTCTGGCTGCAGCTTCTCGGAGCTCTTGGAGATTACAGTTTGTATCACAGAGACGTGATGTGCGATGATCTCGAGGCACGTCTTAAATAATGATAAAATTAGCGGCACCGTCCAGCTGAGAAACTCATTCCACTGTCCTGAAAAGTTGCAGTGAAAGCAGGTTGAGAAAGTGTTGACCGAGACATATTTTTCAGCTGTTGAGTCTGTACAGAGTACAGCTGGCTTGTCAAGCTGCTGCTGTTTGCACAGTTCGCCCAGCAGGGGAGGCCTTGTAACCGCGAACCACCCCGCCCACCACCCACTTCGACCACAGTTCCGCGGGGCCGTAAAGAAAAACACCTCCTCTGCTTGAGTCTTTCAGCGCCGTGCACACTGCATTGTTTATTTCGCTTAACACTTCATTTGTGGCAGTTTTTTTTTTCTGATTCTATTCCAAAGGCCCAGAGGGCTACTTCCTTTGCTAGTGTGGGTTTCCTGCTCATAATCAATGGTGCATGCTGAATAATACTGAAAAGCAGGGAACAGACATGGGAATTGGGAAACCAAAGCTGGGGAAAAAGAAAACAGAAGGCGTGATATGATTTGGTGAGAACAATGGGATGCAAATGGGTAACTTAATTTACAGCAATACAAATCTTAACGGTATAGCAACAATAGTCAACAACAAGGGAAAAATAATAAGACAAATTAAAGGAAAGATGTGTATCCTCAGTTTGTGTAAATGTGTCTCTGCTCATTTTTATACCCATGCCGTTCTTTATTCTATCACACATTACTGAGTCGTCATTGGAGTCAATGGTCTGAAAAGTTTTATGATGACATTGCCTGAAATATTTATGAAAAGTGCAATTGCAACCCATTCATAGTGAGCATTTGCAGGAAGAGCAATGTTTATAATCTTGGCATTATATTAAGCAAGTGTACTGAGAGCTTTGGACTCCCACAGCAATATATGCAGCTTGAGATGGCGTGCAATTATTCATGCAGTGCATTCTAGCTCCCACCAGCTCATATCAAAGTTCCCGGGGCTGACCACTGTTTGAATGTTGTCGCCGAGCAAACACCATTATCTCCCTATTATTGTGCTGTAACAGGGGGCATGGTTTGAGCAACAACGCAAAGCAAATCATTACTGGGTGAGAAAATCGCATTTGCAAAATTGCAGAAGGAGTTACGCAGCCAGTGTTTTGCAGATGAACCAAATGACAGGAAGCCGTTTCAACAGACGGAATTGCGAGCTGGCCAAACCGTAGCTCGAAACGCATGACAGGCGTTGGAGGAGGCAGTGAGGGATGACTTTCAGAGGTTCTACAGACTTTTTAAAAAAGGCTGATAAGTCAGGACTGGATGGAAGGCTAAAGTGTTTTAAGTCAGCGTAGGGGAATGTTGGCCTCAGTTCATGGCATTGTCTAGAGGATAAAAGAGCACTTGGATGACCTCCGTAAATTCCCCCCCCCAAAAAAAAAAACATCCTCTGAACAGGTGGTTTGAAGGATGTGCCAATAAGCGTAACGGCTCAAGTTTCACAAAAAGGAATCGGAAAGTATTTTCAATAGGTCAGGGAATGCCAAAGACAATCAAACACAGGGGATGCTCTCCAAACCTGTCTATCTCTGTCACCAAACAGTGCCACTGCAGGCTGTGGTCATAGCTCCTTAAATGTTTTTATAGACAATGCTATTTGGACTCCAACGAGAGTGCCACTTGTTTTCGGCAACCAGTGCAGGTGAGGTCCCAAGAGAGCATATTTTCTGTTATTTTGTCTTTTAGGCTTTGCAGGAGTTTAATTATAAGTAATTCAGGGTGGATTGTTCCAAATTATTGTACATAGGATTTACTGGATGTGCTTTAAGCAGCTGTGGCAGATGCTCTCTTCCCCACGCCTTGTGATTGAGCAAACCTGTAATAAAAAAAAAAAACAGACACACACACACTGGAGGGAATTCATCTCCGGGCTGGTGTATGACTTCTGAACCATCCAGTGCAAGAAACGTTGCATCAGATGCTCGTCCATATAGCCGTAGACATTAACCCAGTGAAAATGTATTATCCTGATTTTTTTTTTTTATTGTTTTGTTATTGTGCTTCTTTGGTTTTTTAAACACATTATGCATCAATGATTTAAAAGGCTCGACATTTGGCAGCAGAGCTCTTGATTCATCCGTTCGTTTATCATCCATTGCTAACATCACTGTAACCTCAGACCTGAGCGCAGACCAGCAGAGCCAAGTTAAACATCAAGGCAGGTGGGGCTCTTTCTCCCAGGATGCCATTTGTTTGTCTTACAGGGCTTCAAACGCTGACACGTCTCTGTTTATACCTGCGGGGTCAACATTTGAGTGAGCGGCAGAAACGCGGTCCTCCTACCGAAGCTTTGTGGACCGCTACAGAGTGTGAATGCTTATCCGGGGAATTTTTTGGGCCTCTGTCTTGGATAATGACAGAATGGGAACGGAGCCACAGGGATAAGGGAGAGGGGAGGCAGAAAGAGAGAGAGAGGGAGGGCAAGAAAAAGAAGCCGATAAGGGGGAGGAAAGAGGGGGATTTGAATTGATGTTATCTCTGAGTCTCTGTCATGATTGCCACAGAGGGTCACTCGGGTTGTGGTTTAATACAATGGCAGACAATAACAGAGCTGATGGGCAAATGGTTATGTGTGCAGATGTCTGTTGTGTGTGTGTGTGTCTGCATGCCTGAGTGTGTCAGGAGAGCAGGAGAGCATGTCTATGAAGTCTTCCAGTACAGTGAAGCTGTGAGGTTTCTGAAAGGTGACAGCAGTTCAACACGGACCAAAGGAAAATCGGAGGAATACGGAGCACCCTTTTAAAAATAAAGCGCTAAAAATCACCAAAAGACCTGCTCTACATATGACCTGAACAGCTTTTGTCTGAAACACACTGACATCTACAAAACTGCACATGAGATTTCGGTGCCTATTCTTGCATGCTGCCGTCTCTCCTAACTGCGTGCCCCTTCAGAGTTTTTTTTTCCCTTTTTGCTCATTTCCTCTTTTCTCACCTTCACTTCAGTTACTTTGACACCTGTTTTGCGATGCTTTCTCTCCCTCCATCTGTCTCACGCTGCCTCCTCTTTCCATTTAAAAAACTCTTTTATGAGGTTTTTTTTTTTACACCTCTATTTCACTTCATCTTGCATTTCTTGCTAACTTTCATTCCCCTTCACCTCACATACTCTTGTTGCTTGCCTTTCCATATTTCACCCCTGGGTGCCCCTGCAGCTAAGAAAAAAAAAAAACAGCCAAGTGTAACAGGAGACAGTAGAAAAGAGCTGTGTGCTGCTGGCTCAGCATTTCTCCACTAGCGTGGGCCTTAACCAAAAGCCAGCCAGGCTGAGCGTCTCACATACACATACCTATAACACACACACACACACACACACACACTAGAGGTCCTCAAGTCCAACCTCTCAATTATACAATTACACAGTCCAGCAACTGCCCCCAGCAGGAACTGTTTATTTGCCTTTACCACAGAATAATACTGCCTTTTGTTCCATAGCTCTTTAAGCGTGGATGAAAAGATGATAAAATCTCATTACTTTCTGCACATTGCATTGATTTTTACCCTTTTAACTATTGCAGGCAATGCGCTGTAGTGGTCAAGCTGCGCCTACACACGTAGTGCTTCTGGAAAAGTTTCAGATTTGTGGATTGCTAAGTTTCAGAAGGTGTGCTATCCCCCGTGTGTGTTTAGTGAGGGGAGTGGGGGCAGGGGCAGCTGGTAAATCGAGCCCCGGTGCCGTGCTCAGATTCTAATTGCACTGTGAAAAGTGATCTGGCACTGTACATACACGTGATGGCCAAAGGATAAAGTCAAACAAATCTATTACCATGAGTAAAAGAAAACAACAGAAAAAAAAAAAAAACATTGGAGAAATGTGATCATTGGCAAGGTGGTGAGAATTCTTCGCTTCTGGCAAAAATGACCAAAGTCCCGTGGGTACAAAGTTAAGCGTGTGTGTGTCTCTTTGTGTTTGGGCTCATGTGTGAGGGTGCTTAGATGCTGGCATGCTGCAAGTGTGAGCCAAGTGGGACAAACGCCAGGCAGTCTGGTGACTGGGTCATTTCACTAAGCTATATGGGCCACAAATGTGCGAGAGTTCAGAAAAGGGTCAAAACATGCCTTAACTGCATGAACTATGAATCGCCGAAGACGCACAGACAACACCTCCACCTACCATGTACTCCATGTTGGAAGCAGGAGGGTAAACTTGGCCTCTGAGCTTGTTGTGAAGGTCCAGGATGAGCTGAGCGTCGCTATCAGTAATGGCCCTCTTCCCCCTCTGTTTGGCCTCCCACCAGTCGCCGTCCTCGTCCAGATACTTGTCCAAAATCTGCTCCCAGCCTGTGGAGTTTGGAAGCATCACCATGGACGTCGTCGTCTGGAGCAGCAGGAGCAAGGACACGCCTCTCAGCCGGTGCAGGGACCCAAGCCTCATCCTTGGACACGCTGGTGATAACGATAAACTTGAGCAGGATGGATAGGGTTGAGAAATGTTTTTGTGCCAGCACAGACACACTTTGTCTACAATGTCAGCTGACAAGGACCCTGAAGGAGAGAGAGGGGGAGAGAAAGAAATGATAATTGGAAGCTTTGCAGTTGGAGTCCTGTATCAAATTTGCTGAATAACTTGGGTCAATATTGAACTTGGTGAGGACAGTGTGTTGGCTTGCAGGCACTTAGTCTGGTGCGCTGCCACAGGTAAGCTAATGGGGTTCACTGAGGGTAAGCTGGCAGGCTGGGAATGACTAGTTTGGATTAAGTCTGGATTAAAGAAATCAATTTTTACAACTTTCCCCCTAAATCCAAACAATAAAAGGGAAGCTTTAGAAGGAAAGAACACAGCATTACAAATCACAGTAAACAGCACAGCTGCAATGAATGCAGTTAAGGGTACAGGATGATGAATAATGTAGCTTTTGCTTTTACCAAGCCTGTATAAACACAGGCTCTCGCTGAAAGTGTGTGTGCAAGCAAGGATGCTGACAGAAGCTGATATAACGAGCCAATATCTAATGGAAAATGTGAACAGTAATGCATATTAAAACAGAAATGGAGTGGTGTGATTTAGTGCAGACTTTGGAAATAATTTACCTTTAATGAATTGGAATGAAGCCCACTCCTTCAGGTTCTGACAGAGATCTGGCTGTGATGAAACTTGTGCAGCAAGAAGAAGGGAAAAAATCCGCCTTCAGTTTGTGTTGCAGAGCTCAGGTGGAGCGGTGTGATGATTGTCGCTGGCTGCCATAGCACGTAAATCAAAGATGTGATGTGGTAGCTTCATTCGGTTTGCATCAGTTTTGGGGGGAAAAGAGAAGAAGAAGAAAAAGAAGGTCGGTCTTTCTTCTTTCAGGATTTTTGCACCAAAGCCGCCAAAGCATCACTTATCCACATTTTATCCTAAACTTGGCTGGGCTTCCAGAGAGCCGCCCCTGACCACGCCTCTCCTAACTTTGGAAACAGCCCTCACCGCTTCATGGCGAGACCTCTGTGCGCTTCCGGGGCAGTGCGTGCATATTTCTTTCTCCAGTGATGCGCACAGAAAGTAAACTTAATACTGTGAGACTCTAAAACGCACAAAAAGATTTCAGATAAAAGTTTTCTTTATATTTATTGATTTTGACAATGAGTTTATAATGATCGTGACGTCATTTATTAGTTATACCACCTGATCTTTGATTGGCTCGTCATTAGCGTTTTGTGATTTCAGCCTGGGAAGTGATTTTGTTCAAAACCGCATTAACTTACATCAGATCTACCTCATCTTTGGGCCTCATTTCCCAGGTCTGGCTGTTCACAGGTGGCTCTCTGTCTTCTTCTTCTTCTTTTTTTTTCTTTTTCTGAGGTGGGGGGGTTATAACTAGAAAACCAAGCCAAGCCGCGAACTTGTCGTCACTGTTTCCCCGCTCTCTCCTGCAACACAGACTGAATTCCATAATGGAAACAGGCACGTTTTGTCTTTTGTCATCTGGTCATTTTTTACTGGTAGCTATGGCACATGTGGAAACAGTAGACCTGGGTGTGTTTACCCCCCCTCTACCCGGACAGGCTTACTTTTCCACCAGGGGAGGCACAATGTTCTTGTGTTTTACAATAAACCGCAGGCTGGCCAAGACAAGCATGTGCAGCAGTTTTTCCCCTGCTCTCCACCCCCCAACACTAAGCAAATCCCCTTGTTTCTATGACTCCTTGATGTTTTTAGCACTTACACATCAGGTGTATCAAGCACTACACAGAAAACTCAGCTATGTGTGGATGCCTATGAATTTGAAGTTGTAAGGTTTATAATCTGTGCCAAATTTCACAACTGATGTATTATAAACAAATGTAACACCGGGCAGGATACACGTTTGTGTATTAATATGGTGTGGCATTGCACTCAAAGCTATAAACAGAGTCTGGCTTTCAAGAAACAACTTGTCAGTGGACTAAAGTATAATTTTAATGAAACTATGAAGTTATGAAACCCACAATTAGCTTAAAAGACTTATAAGTGCAGTTTATCTTTGCATAGAAATGGGCCTGTGGCTGGTGTATTATTATTATTATTATTATTATTATTATTATTATTATTATTATTATTGGATTGTTAATGTGTAAGGAGTAGCTTTTCAGAGGTACAGCTCATTTTTTTTATGGAAACTGCAACAGAAGCTTCTCGTAGTCATGCTGTGAAACAAGCCAAGCTGACTGTGCACGTCTGGTTCAATCCTAAAAAATGCATTTTGTTTGCTGTCAGATAAATAGTGCAATAGAAACAAAACAAATAAATGTGCGCTTGAGTTCCTTTACTTTCTTCCACCACAGCCCCCAGCTGATGAACTATCAGTGGGAACTGAGAACAAGACGTATATAAAAGCCTTTCTTCCAGGCTGCCTCTGCTTGTCTAACCTACTTCATTAAATGTGATACAGAGCTCACTTTGGTGACTCACTCTGAACTTCCATAAACCCGGGGTTCACTGTCTGCTTCCCGGGTCAGTTGCGAGGGGTCCTCGACCACGGCTCCAGGGTCAGCCACCTTTCCGCTGTCAGACCCAACAGGACTTTCCCAAGTCCTCATCACAGCAGCTGAGATAGCAATGTTCTTCCTTTGCTCACCGCTCCCAGGAGGGATCGCAACTCTGAAAACACTCATTCATCTGCAGCAGAATAAAAAGCTGCACTACATTTAGATAAAACGTGCCTTGAAGGAAGAGAGCTCAGTGGGTGTGTGTTTGTCTCTGTTTAACAGGAGGAGAGTGAGAGGTGAGGCTGCAAAGTGGTGGCGTCGTCCGTTCATCCGTGCATCCGTGCGTGCGTGTGTGTGTGTGTGTGTGTCTTGGCACAGATGCCTTCACAACTTAAATATGAGCCGATACATAAAACAATTATTTTAAAGACTCAAAATAAGTTTTATGGGCTGAGGGTGTGAAAGGACCTAAATCACATGAAAGTTGCAGCTGAATTACAGAAAGTCTGACTGTGAAAGGATGCCTCTGACCTCGAGTATGAACATTAAACTGTGTGGATAAAGGAAATATTTACCAACTGTTCAGGGATTTCTATGATTTATAGTGTGGTAATTTAGGTCAGGCCATCTGTAACACGCAAGTCACTCTCTGATTAATGTTATTACAATGCCTGCCAGTAAATATACACTATTTGTGCCAGCAGTAGAGCAATATAAATGATTTCATGCCTAGGCGTCTTGTGTTAGCAGCCTTTCTTTCTTTTTTTATTTTCTTTCTTCTTGCATCTGCTATCTTGTACCTGTTACTGGGTTGTTTTTCTTATGATTTCATATTTTTCCCCTGTTTTTGTTACCTCTGCTTTCTCTACCTGAAGTTTCTGCCTGCCTTTGTTTTCATGCCAAAACATTCACTTTCTCCACCCCTATGCTTGCTCCTCTCTCTCCTGCACTTTCTGTCTTACCCACACAGCCATTGTGAAGCCATGTGGGCCCAGATGCTCCATTCTGTACCTCCTCCATTCAGCATGTGGTCTTGCGAGAAACCCCGTGAACCCAGGAGAATGCATCGGTCGTGCCAGGCCCCGCATCTACACAACAGTAGCCTCTGGACACAGCAGCAAACCACACAAACAGACTCGAAGAACACTTTTTGTTGGCCCATGTTATCTGGCACATTGCTCTCTAATGGTTCTGGTTGGGCTCAATTGAGGTCAGAGTGTTGGAACGGTGTTGGGGTAAAAGTGGGAGTAAAGAGCATCAAGGTCATTTGGCTGCTGTTCTACATCGTTGCTTTTGTGACATTATCAGCAGCGTCCAGCAGAAGGCTGCCTAAGATATCGCCTGCAGGCCAGCTTGGGATTAGTTTGTCTGTGTCTACCCTCTTGTGGTCAAGAGATGCCAATGCATCTGTGAGCAGTGCACAAACTGTTCTCTGTTTTCCTGCCAGGTCTTATTGCAGGGTTGTAATCAGGGATTTTGGTAGAATGTGTCCAACTGAAATACGAGGCCGTTAATACACAAATGTTCAACGATCTGTTTTAAATCCACTAGTCTTCTGTTGGTGTTGGATTCAAACTTCTTTTCTGCGATATGTAATTTAATTTTTCCTGTAACTTTCACAAAGACGACCATTTTTAATTTCTGTTGTATTTTTTTCCTCTTCCATCCCTTCCTCTGTTTCATTTTCCATTTTCATTTACAGGAAACTGTGTTAAACCACGCTGCCAAACCTCACAGCCCAGGACATGTCCAATTTACTGCACAAAAGTAAAAGTAATATAAAACAGTGTCACTTAAGTCAAAGAGCAGAAATACTGTCAACGGCGTGTCAAAAGTACTCATTATGTGTAATTTCAGCTCTGAGCCTTTCGCTGCTTTTTAATGGTTTTTAGGAGCCCTGAAAGTCTGAAACCTTGCATCATCTTTGCTTGTGTCTGTAATGTCTTATTGGTTTACAGTACACCCAGTACACTCTCCTGTAATACCATACTAGGCAAAAATCTTGAGCCAGTTATTCATGTTTTGCAAATAGGAAATAGGTCCAGTGATTTATTAAAACGTGCAAACATTCATGGAAATACAGTAAATTAGGCAAAAGCAGCATCTGTACAGTTCATCAAAAGTCTAGATTTGGTATGACCACCTTTATTCTTCAACACAGCCTTAACTCTCTTGGGCAGCTTTCTTGTAATTTCTTTAAGTAGTCTTCAGGAATACTTATCCAGGTTTCCTGTAGGACATCCAAAGCTCTTCTCTGGATGTTGGCAGCCTTTTATTCCATTCTCAGGGAATAGTGAACGGATCAACTGCAGGGCTCAGGTTCTGTATCAGGTCTTTATTTGATTTGTTCTTGTTTCTTTTTTGACATGACTTTCAGATGCTACTGCCACTTCTTCTTTTGGGACAAACTGCACACAATGCCAAGATATGCCAGGCTTTCAGCTAAATTGGGAATTCACTTGTTGGTGCAAAACTACTGTTATGTGTAGACACAACGCTGATTGATTGAGTTAGGTTCCTTTTTATGCTTGAATGTTTGAGAGATCAGTGATAAGTGGCTTAACGAAGAAAGACCACTCATCTGAAAATGGGGAGGTACAAGGCATGGACCAAACATGTCAGAAAAAGCAGCCAATGTCCAAAGAAAAACTTGGAAAGGCTTCAGAAAGCCTGGAGAGCTACTGCACATTAAAACATCATAAGAAAGCCTGGCTCCTTGGAAGCAAAATATAAAGACACAAAGTCTTTTGCAGAGTACTGAACATTTAATTTGCTTTGTGGGTGTTTTCTTAAGTCGCTTGTGTGTGACAACTTGAAAACACCCCACCATGCCTTGTTCCATAGGTTGCTCCATATGCTTTCATGCATGCAGAAAAATGAATGCTGCTTTGAAATGCAGTTAGCAATAATATAGAACAGTTTAAAAAGCCAAAATGGAGAAACTCTATATGTCACACATCACTACACACAGTATTATTCAAGCTTTAAATTGCAATCTGTAAAACTGCCGTTTAAAAAGATACAGAGGTGACACCGAGCAGGCTTTTGAATCACATGCGTGTGTTGCCTCCTGAGCAATGCTGGCTCTTTCTATAATATGTAGTATGTGATACTAACAATTCAGGGAAATGTATCTATAAACATTTTGACTTGCTTGTAGGGAAATGCACGACAAATATCAAATCTTCCCATAACCACCAGGTGTCAGTATCTTTTTATATACACTGTGGATCTCAGTCAACCTCAGTTCCTGATGACAGGCTAAAATGCTTCAGCTCCCCCACTGTAACACCACAAAAGGAGCTCTGGGTAAACTGAGGCACTTATCCATCGCTCAGGCTATTAGGGTAAAATCCTGAGCAAACAAAAAACCTAAAGTGATGATGTAGAGACAATAGACGCTGGGGAATTG